CCACTCTTCTCTGCCACAGGAGGCCCACCTATTGTCTTCCCTGTGCGCCTTGCCCCTGAGCTCTGTTAAGTAGAGTCCTAGTGCCCAGGGCCTGAGTAGGGTGATAGGTGATCTTGGGGTCCCTTCATTCCCCAGACCAGGGACACACTCATGCAGAGGGGATGCAGAGGGCGTGGGCAGAAGGCAGTACAATTTCACATACCCACATTCATCTGATGCTGCTGTGTGCAGCCTCCCCAGGGTCTGGCATTTGGGAAAGGAAATGAGATGAATGTGTCCTAGTCACTGGCATTGAGGAGCTGTTGACTGGGGTGGGGTCAACCCAGCAAGGGGATAGCAAGAACCCAGTCTGTGCACACATATGGGAGACCTGCCCAGGGGCCCTGCAGTGTAGGGGAAAGAGAGAGCGACTGGGGCAGAGCCACCAGGAAAGGCTTCTAGGAGGATTCTGGCACCTGGGGAGGGATTGAGGAAGAAGGAGCAGCAGATTCTAGGAGGTAGAAACACGGGGGCATGTTTCTAGAATGGAGTCTGTCTGGTCTAGAGGCCCAGCTGCTGACGTATGGGTGCAGGGGGTGTGGGTCGTAAAAACAACATAGTTATGATAAATAACGCTGCTGTCATTTATGGAGTAGGAAATTAAGCTGGAGAGGTGGGGTCCGCAGACCGAGCTGGCAGAGCTTGTGGGAACTACCGAGGGAAGTTACCTGGTCTGATTACTATTTTATAAAGATCACACTTGTTGGCGGAAGCTAGCTAGGAGCTGTCACTATTGTGGGGGAGACCAGTGGGCAAAGATGCGTGGGAGGTGGAACCACAGAATCTGGTGCCCCCCAGCGGGCCAGGGTGGCAGCAGGTGCAATTCGAGGGCGTGGGAGGGCCGCAGGGAGGGGAGGCCAGGTTGTCAGGGCAGGTGAGTCCCGCCCAGCTGCCCTGGGGAGTGGGCTGCGGCCCAGAGCGTCCTGCCTCCACCTGCGTCCCCTACCCCGTCCCATCGTCTGCCCCTTGCCCCACCACCCAGCTCTGCCCCTCTCCAGCTGGCTCAGGAAGAGCCAACCCGGGCCTCGACTGCCCTCCCTGGACCCGTCACTTTCGTGAAAGCTACCAAATGAGGCCCCGACACCACCAGCCCCCGCACCCTCGGACGCCAGGAGGCCTCGCTGCGTCCCAGACACTGGCACGCTGGGCGGTTCTGCGGAGGGGCTGGGGCTCCGGCGCTGGGGCTCCGGCGCTGGGACGCGCCGGTGTCGTCGGAGCTGTCGCCGCTGTGCCCCCGATGGCGCCTCGAGGAACTGCAGCGGGACAGGGAGAGCGAGCCCCCTGCCGGTCAGTCCAGCAGGACTGTGAGCTCTGTGAGCACAGGTCCCCCGCGGGGGACCTTGAGAACCAGAGGACCTGGCCCTAGCTAGTTTGGCTCAGTGCTTAGAAATTCCGCCCGTGGACTGAAGGGTCCTGGGTTCGATTTAGGTTTCCAGTTTGCAGGCTCCAGAGAGTGCAGGAGGCAACCAATCGATGTTTCTCTCTCCCC